GGGGGGGGGGGCTCGCTGACCCCCCATCAGTCTGCCACGAGCCACAGAGTGACAGCATTATCATACACGCGCAGGAGGAGCGCAGCCAATCAGCGCGCGCTGCGGGCTATAAAAGCTGCAGATCTGCGCCTCGCGCACATCCTGAAGGATTTCTTCTTCACCAGAACAGAACCTCGGAGGAATATCTGCTTCACCATGACCCTGGAGGAGGTTCTGATCCAGAAGCCTGAGCGCGCTCAGTGCGCCGGGGAGGCCCTGCGGGAGGTTCTGGTCTCCGCCAAAGACAACGAGTCTCTCACCGTGGGGGTGTACGAGTGCGCCAAAGTCATGAACCTGTGAGTATCTGAGCCCACGTGAAAGTTCTAACCGGGTTCTGGTGGGTCCGTGTCTCATGGCTCCTGTGTCCACAGAGACCCGGACAGCGTGTCCTTCTGCGTCCTGGCCGTGGACGAGCAGTTCGAGTGCGACGTGGCCCTGCAGATCCACTTCACCCTCATCCAGTCCTTCTGCTTCGACAACCACATCAGCCTCGTGAGGGTCGGGGACGCGCAGCGCCTGGCCGACGTCGTGCGCGACGTGAAGGCGGAGCAGCTGGAGGACGCGCGCTGCGTCCTGATCACGGTGAGACCTCAGCGCAATGCTTGGCTGTAACTTTAACCAGAAGCGCGTGACTGAGCCGGTTGTGTGTGTGCGCGTAGACCCCTGCAGAGGACTGGGAGGACCCGGCCCTGGACAAGCTGCACCGCTTCTGTGAGGAGAGCCGCCGGAAGAACGACTGGCTCCCGGAAGTCACTCTGCCCGCGCGCTGAGCTCCTCCACCTGCGCGAGCCTGCAGCTCAGCATCATCATCATCATCATCCCTGGACGCTCCTGGGGAGGTTCCGGTCCAGGCCGCACGGCGCCGGCCCCCCCAGCGTGGCTCCATTCTTTCTGTGAATGAGGCCGGGGGGGCCGCAGGGGCCACACGTCGACCCTCATTCTTTGTGCGGATGAGGTTTGGAGAGGGAGAAGAAGCGCGCGTGCCCCCGTGGCAGCGCGCACGCACGCGCAGCAGGAGAAGCGGTGCTGAGGAAGAGGAGCTCATGGAAAGAGACTTTTCACTGACGGCCTCTTCGTGGAAGCAACACGACAACAGTTGCAGCAACAAGTTTCCCACTTTCCAGAATTGTCTTAATCCTCTAAAGGTTTCACTTTAGAAATGACAAACATTTACCTTCAAACATTTAAAAAATGTTTTTATCTAAAGGTTTCACTTTAGAAACGTTGTTAATCACTTTAGACAAACATTTAAAGTTAGAGGAAAAACATTGAGAGAAATGATTCTTAGACTTTGTTAGAAAAACACGTTCTCTTTATTTAAAGTTGAGTTTTAGCTGATGTTGTAGAAACTGTAGACTCCTTAAACTTTCTATGTTTTTATATAAGTGTTTTTACATAAAAACACTTAGATCTGATCATTAAATGTGAAACAAACTGAACATTTGACACTCGCTCACTGTCTGATCTGAACGTTCATGAAACTCTGGTAAAAAAAAACATGTAGGTTTACTTTAACTGTGAATAAACGATTGAAGCAGCATTGTGTTTGTGTCGGTGAAAACTCATCTGCATGTGAATGAACCTGCTCACAATACCAGAGCCCCCCCGGGCCCGGCGGCTCCGGCTGACGCTCACAGGGACCATTGTCTGGGCTGCAGATGTCTGCCGGGCCACGCTGCACCATCTGCCGCCCGGGGGCGGGAGGGGTCAGCCTGGGGGGGCAGGGGGTCTAGCAGCTGCTGTTCAGACTATTTACCAGCAGATACTTGCTGAAAGTTTTGTAAACATGTTCAATAAGTTCTACAGACGTGGGGGGGGGGGGGGGGACACACCTAGATTAAACATCTTGTCAGGTGGTTCTGAATCAGGCACTTCCACAGAAACTTTAAATGTGTTCGCTGTAAGAAACGTTTCCAGTTCAAGGGTGGGACTGGATGTCAGGACAGCACACAGAACTTGGAGGTGTGCCTGAGGCCCCTGTAGGCCCGGAGCCCCTCTCGTTTCGGGTCCCGGACCATCCCTCGGACCACCGGCAGGGAGTCGCAACCCCTCCTCCTGTGGGCTCGGTGCAGCAGGATCCGGTAGACCCCGGTGACGGGGCTGCGGCTGTCCGTCAGCTGGTTGTTCTGGAGGTGTTCCGCCGTGAAGCCGAGCTCCTCCAGCGAGCTCCGGACCTCGTCCTCCACCTCGTCCTCCAGGCTGCCGCGCTCCGAGTCCAGCAGGCTCTGCAGAGAACTGGACGGTGTCACAGGAACCAGAGACCAGGGGAACTCCACCGGGAGGAGCCAGTCGCAGCCCAGCATCTGGTCGACGGCGCAGCGCTCCGAGGGGACGGCCTTCAGGATGCCCCTGATGAGCCTCTGGCAGGGGCCCGGGACCCAGGGGGGGACGGTGTAGTTCCCCTCGAGGATGCAGCGCCGCAGCTTGCCCATGGTGTCGGCCCGAAACGGCATGGTTCCGGTCACCATGAAGAACAGCAGGACGCCCATGGCCCACACGTCCACCGACGGGCCCAGGTAGCTCTCGTCCCTGAAGAGCTCCGGGGCGGCGTAGGGCGGCGAGCCGCAGAACGTGTCGAGGGCGCTGCAGCGGCTCGACACCCGGGTGCTGAAGCCGAAGTCGGCCACTTTCACGCAGCCGGTGCTGGTGAACAGAACGTTCTCCGCCTTCAGGTCCCGGTGCACGATGTTCAGGTTGTGCTGCGGAGACAAACACACAAGATTTCAGAACGTTTCACTGACTCACGGGGAGGAAAGGTCCACTCACACAGGCTTCGTTTGTCTGTTAGCAAAATATCTCCTGAACCAGTGGGCCGGTTTGAATGAAACTCTCATGAAGCAACCACTGAACCATCTACAACTGTTAGAGGCACTGTTCAAGATGGCCGCCACAGCTAATAAACAGAAACATGACTCAGATAAGGGTGGCGTCAACTTTTTGGACTTTTATAACACATTTAAAATAAACAATTTATCAAGAACACATCTTCAGTTTGGAACTTTATTTTCTCTAAATTAGGAGGTCTACATTTATTTCTATTTTGTAATAATGTTGAGAAAGTCCCTCAAAACTGTCCAGTTTTCATAAACAGACGCTTCTCTCTCGGTCGTTGATTTACAAACATAATTTCTCTCCACACAGATATTATATCTGGAACAATAGAGACATCTTGTATAAAAACAAATCCTTATTTTACATAGAAGTACAGCAGGACAGAATCCAGCACTGTTACCATTTGATCCAACCAAACTTGAAATTGTTCCAATCTGCTCCTCAGTCCATAATATCAACCGTATCTATTTCAGAAAGATGTTGTCAACTCCATATGTGGTACCTTATCGGAACAACTTTATTAATAACCTTAACAGGAAAAGGATTTGAACTTTACCAACCAGTTACATGATAAATAATAAAGTAAGAGAAGTATCTTTCAAAATTATTCATAGATTTTACCCATCCTAAATCTATATACAACGGTGTAACAAGGATATAAATATAATTTGCTCCTTTTGTGATGAAAACCCAGAAGATGTCTTCACTTATTTTGTTCTTGCTCCTTCTCGATTCAATTTTGGAAAAGTATTTGTATTTCTACTTTCATAGAACCAGATCTTTTACTTTGCTGTGAACATGTTTTGTTTGGCTTCACTGACCCCACAGCTAAAGAAAAACAGTTCTATATTATTAATCTCATTATATACCGAGCCAAATGGCATATTCATAAATGTCGATACACTAATCAAAAACCTCTTATCTCCATTTTTGAAAATGAGGTCAAACAATACATGAAAACTATTAAATACTCCACCAACACGAGGCCATAAAAACTTGCACCTCATGTGCTCTCTTCAATATATTTATGTAATATGTTGTTGTAAATTATTGTCTCAGTGTTTGTAACCCTGGGCCCACTCTGAATAATCACCTACATCAGAAGAACCAGGGAAACAATAAATCTGGGCTACAGTAAAACCGGTACCTCACAGAACATTTGGAACCCGTCTCCAAGCATTCCTCAGGTCGTCTCAAACAAATTGAAGTCGCCAGAACCAAAAATGGACGAGCAGCGAGTTTGAATATTCAAACTTTATAAAATAATGTTTTTTCCAACACAAATCTCCGACCCTTATATGGTGGTATTTTATTGTGAAAGGATGAACATAAAGTTGTTTCTGCTTTAAACTTTGTTTTAATGATTAGTCTGAACCTCGAGGTTCTGGAAGCTGGACCGGACCAGGTGGAGCTCCAGGATTTGAACCCTCGACAGCTTGAAGGAGAGTCATCAAATCTTCAACAGGATCTCTTCACGTTAAGTCTGGAGCAGATTTTTGGCAACATGGATGAAACCTCAGAGTAAGTTCTGGTCCAAAGTTCAGCAGGAGTTGGTGGAAAATCTGTTTCCTGGTCGTTGAGTGTTGCCAGCAGACAGATCCCGGTGAGATCCAGGCTTCAGATGATCCACCATATCAGAACTGTGATCCTTCTTGTGCCCTGCAGCAGCTGAGCAGGACGTTCTCAGCTGAGGTTTCAACGACCGACACCTGAAGACTTCCTGCTCCAGAACATCCACACCTCACGGAGAAAACTCTTAGGGTTCAGGTCCAGCTCGAGGTTCTGGCTCCAGTAAATGGTTTACAAAGATCCACCTGTTCCTCCGTGTGCACAGATCGGACGCCTGCATTATAAGTTCTGTCTGTCTTCTGTCAGGTGCTGGACCCACAGAACCTCTCAGACTCACCATGTATTTGACAGCGGAGAGGATCTGGGCGAAGGTGATCTTGCTGGCGTTGTCGGACAGTTTCCCCTCGGTGCAGATCCGGTTGTGCAGGTCTCCTCGGCCCGCGTACTCCAGCACCAGGAAGATGCGGCTCGGCGTCTCCACCACCTCGTACAGACGGATCACGTTGGGATGCTGCAGGGACTCCATGCTGCTGATCTCTCTGGAGAGCAGGCGATGGGCCTGGGCGTCCAGACGCATCCGGTCCAGGATCTTCAGGGCCACTTTGTCTGTAGACAAAAAGCACCGAGATGTTCAGATCTCATGTTTTATTGAGGAGGAACATCGTGAACAATCGTTAGAACAAAAACATGTTGGACCATATTAAGAAGAAAACCCTGGACGTTCTTCAACACTTTTAAGTTGTTCAGCTCCAGGTCCATGGTCCATGGAGGACCTGCGGAGACCAGTGGTTGGAGCTTCTGGAGGACCTGAGGAGACTAGTTGTGTTTCTGTAAACACAATGTAAATGTTTTTTGCTGAATAAATTTGCTGAAAGCTGCTGAAAAAGCTAAAAGTTACTTAAAATACAGCAATGGCTGAAAAGTGGGAAGACGGAGCACAAAGAAGCTGAAATGATTAAAAAAAAAAAAAACAATAAAATGCCTGAGTTACCAGAAAAGAGAAAAAAGGAACACAAAAAGCTTCAATTAGCTGAAAATAGGCTAAAAAAAAAAACTTGGGGAAAATAGTACAAGCTGACGTAAGCAGAAAAGTAGCCAAATGCTAAAAGGAGCCTAAAAAGCTAAAATTAGAGGAAAGATGCAAGGAAAAAAAAGACAACAAAAAAAATTGCTGAAATGAGCAGAAAGAAGCTGACGGAACCAGAAAATGGCATGAATAAGCTGAAAACAGCTGAAATGAGCAGTAACGGTTGTAAACAGCTGAAAGGGTTTGAAGGACGTGGAGAGATTCATGTTCAATGAAAAAAAAAAAAAAAACATGGCCGACAATGCTAAATGTGTCAAAGTAAAAAATGCACAAATGGCAGAAGTCAGAGCAGGAATGTCCTGAAGGAGCCGAACGTTTTCATACTTGAATTGTTGAAATAGAAGAAAAACTGAGGAATGAGTTCGATGCCAGAACGTGTCTGGAAGGATCAATGACGATGTGGAAACATTCAAACTATTCAGTAAGAAACAACCATTTCTCCCAGTCAAGACTTCCTGTTCACCTTTAGTCAGAGCGTGGAAGGCCAGTTTGACCCTGGAGAAGGTCCCGCAGCCGATCTCCCCTCGGACCTTGTAGAACCCGACCCTGCGGCCGATGATCAGCTCCTTGATGGTCCTCTCGTTCTTGCACATGGCGGTGGTGAGCTTCTGCAGGGGCATGAGGCGCAGTGAGGCCTCCTCCTCCTCTGGGCATCCATCAGAACTCTCCGTCAGGCTGTAGAGGCTCAGGCTGAGCCTCAGGCGGGTCACCTGGTACTGACCTCCAGGCATGTCTACAACAGAACCACCATGAACAGGAAGACACAACACTCAGAACATTTTAATTTAAAACATGTTACATTAAAGCTCTAAATCATTTCCCACTCAAACATTTGCAGAAAACTCTTTTTAAACTTCAGGAGATAAATGAAGTCCACCTCCTTCAGGTCCAAACAAAACACAAGTTACTGAGTCGTTATTTATTTAACAAAAACTGGTTCCAGGTCCTGATCCAGAGGCCTGTAGAACCTCCTTCAGTGGTTTCCTGTTTGTCCCTCCTGGTTCTGGAGGAGTTCTGACCCACTCTTTTTTCCAGTGTTGGTTTCTTCTCAGCTCTCTGAAGGTCCACCACAGCATCTCGGTCAGGCTGAGGTTCTGGACTCTGACTGGACAGGTGCAGCACCTTGGTTCTGTTCTTTTGGACCCGTTCTGTTGTAGATTATCTGCTGTGTTTGGATCATGGTTCTGTAGGACCCAGATTGATCCCAGCTTCAGCTGTTGGGACTCCAGAACTCTTTGGTCTACAGAGGAGTACGGGTCCACTTATACCCCATTTCCACGGCTCCTACTCAGTCCCAACTCTGCTCAGCCCTCCACACAAAGACCCATACTCCACCAGAACTTTTTAGATGATTTTTTTAGCTGATTCGGGACCTTGTTTTGTTCCTGCTTTTCTGGTGGGACCGTCGAGCTGACTCTGCAGGACTCTGATTGGTCAGAGGGAGGAGTCACTGGATCTCAGAAACTTTTTACCGATCCTCCATTTGCAATTTCTCGGAACGCGAAGCAGCGGCTGGATCTATTTTAAAGATTTTAAAAACAATAATGACAACACCGTGTTTAATGCAGAAGTCCAGGAGTTTTTTGTGTTTGGTGACCGACAATAAAATCTGAGCGAGCGGCGTCACTGCGGAGGATCATACGAGCTGCCGACCCGTCGAAGCACGAGAGGCCGGTCCCCGAGCCCCGGCCTCGCCTGCTCAGAAAGGACGGATTCTGAGCCCTGGCAGGCAGGAGGACCGGGACAGAGGGTGAAAATGTTATTTTTTTTTTTTTTTTTTACATTTAATGTATAAAAAATAATGGTTTTCTTGTTATCAGTGAAGAATAAAAATAAATTAATGGTGCCGGCTTCATCATGAAATCCTGTTTTCACTTTGACTTTATTAAATAATCTGGTAATTAAAGTTAAAGTTAATTCAACTGAAAAATTATAAAAAGACAAAATTATTGAATCTCTTGTATTTTCCTCAAACATGTTTAAAGAAGAGACACAGCCTTTGGTTCAACTTTATTATCACAAAACAAGAATTACACTTTAAATCAAAGCTAAAATAAAATAATCTGAAACAAAACCACTTGTAAATACATCAATTTTTTCTTCTTCTTCGTTCGGCTGCTTTAGGGGTCGCCACAGTGAACTAAGTCGCACGAAGACTTGGCAGTTATTTTTACGCCGGATGTCCTTCCACAGCCTCTGTGTGGAGCACAGAGCTGCTATCTAGGACACCCGGAGGAGCAGGTGGTGTTAAGGGCCTTGCTCAAGGGCCCAGAGTGGGAAGAAGGAGGGTGGGGGCAGGTGTGGGTGCTTCACCTACCCCACCCACATTTTTGATGTTGTCTGTACTGGGGCTTGAACCGGTGATCACAGGCCCACCTTCTCTAACCTCTGCGCCACCACTCCCCATGTAAATATGATGAAGGAAAATATGGAATTTTAGATATAAATGTTTTTGTAGGATATGGTTCATCAGATTTAATTCAGTTTATTTATAAAGCGCCAAGTCACAACAGAAGTCATCTCAGGGCACTGAACAGAAACATGCATTTTTAAAAACAATAATTTAACATTATTTATCGGAGGAGCAGACTGCTTTGAGTTTAACTCATCGCAGAACTCTCACTCAGTGAACTAAAGTTCATTAAAAGTTCATGAGCAGGATTTTGGGTTCTGGACACGCCTCCAGGGCCCGTCCTGAAGTGCGGTGCAAGTCAGGCTGATCTGAGCAGAGTTGAGGCTGAGTAGGAGCAGAGCAAAAGTGGCATTATAGAGACTGACAGGAGCCCAAACCATCAGCCCTCCACTTCCGTGCTGACAGCTGGGAGGAGCTGTTTGCTGCAGTGCATTCTGGGTAAACATCTTGTTCTGGTGCTGAAGTCTTGTGGTTCCTTCAGAGGAAACTTTACAAACCTAAGTTGAGCTGCCATGTTGTTTTAGATAGAAAAGGTCATGACCTTTGACCTGCTGAGGTCTGTAGAGTCACTGCAAAGTCTGACCTTCAGGGTGAATCAACTGTCTGAAATGTTCTACTCTTGTGAAAAATCTCTCTCTCTGTAGAACAATGGACACTAAATGACCTTTGACCCTTCACAGATTGACTGACAGCAACAGCTGCTTCTTGTCTCTTGCTGTTGTCTTTCTGCCCTGACATTGTGTTAACACACACCAGTCTGCTCCAGATCAGAGGCGGCTCCACTGATGACCAGTTCATCAGCAGCTCCAGATGATCCTGGACCTCTGAGATCCTGGAAGCAGCAGCTGGAACCAGTTTTTACACTTTCACCTTTAACTTTTGTTTAATAAATAACGATTCTGTAAAACCTGTCGCTCACTTGAGGTTGAGTTTGAATTATTGTAGAATCTGATGAAGAGCCATCAGTTTATGTCCTGGCACTCTAGAACTGAAAGAGGTGGACCTTTTCCTTATGACAAACCTCGGTACCTGGACCTGCATCATCCAGCCCTGGTGCAGCTGAAGCATCAAGAACAAAGAGTTTTTCTTACCCAGAGACTGAGGTGCTCCTCTACATCAAAACATCCGTAGAATCCATTACAAATAAAAATAAAGTTCTTCTTTTGGCCCAGAATGAGCCAGAGAGAAAAGTTTCTTACATGTTGAACAAGAACATAAGCATCCTCGTCAGTTCTACTCTGAAGAACTGAACGCTGAGTCCACAGGGGGGGGGGGGGGGGGGGGGGGGCACCCCTCTTTGTCCTGACCCACCTGGCCTCACCACCTCCGTCATATGTCTCCAAGTGACGAAGGTTAAGGTGGTGTCATGATCTTTAATCCTTAGAATTGAGGTCTTCCATAAATCAAAGTATGAAATGACAGAAAGCTGCAGCAGATCATGAGCATGAAGACAGACTGAACACGGACACCTGCGTGAGGGAAACGGCTCATTGATCTCTGAAAGACGAGTCCCAGGTCTTTGTGCAGATGAAACCTTATATAACAGTCTTACACAATGTTCTCGTAGAGATTACCTCCATGTTCCCTCCACACGGCGGCTGAAGAGCACAGATAAACAGATTACAGATCAGCACCTCAGAGGCCACAACGTCTTCATTCAGGTCTACAATGCCTCACTGATGATTCTGAGTCAAATCAAGTGAGCTTGGGTCCACAGAGGGGACGGTTTGGGTCATTTAGGGGGTTCAGACAGCAGCACACAGTGGAACAGGTTTGAGGTTCACGATCAGCTAGGAGCTGCTGATCCTCATCAGTGGGACCACCTCTGATCTGGAGCATACAAGTGTGTGTTAAAATGTCAGGGTGGAAAGACTCGTGGCGGCTGGCAAATGGCGGGTGCTAGGGCGCCGCCTCACCCCGTTACCTTGAATAAGACATAAAAAATGAAATAAAAATGAAATAATAAAATAAAAATATTTCAAAATATATGTATATATATATGGGCAGCATGGTGGCACAACTGGTAGAGCTGCTGCCTCTCAGCGAGCAGGTCCCTGGTTCAAACCCCGGTCCAGGGGCCTTTCTGGGTGGAGTTTGCATGTTCTCTCCGTGCATGCGTGGGTTTTCTCCGGGTGCTCCGATTTCCTCCCACAGACCAAAAACATGCATGTTAGGCTGATTGGTAACTCTAAATTGTCCCTAGGTGTGAGTGAGAGAGTTAATGGTTGTTTGTCTCGTTTGTCTCTATGTGTCCCTGTGATGGACTTGCGACCCGTCCAGGGTGTACCCCGCCCCTCGCACAGTGATTGCTGGACATGGGCACCAGCAACCCCCGTGACCCAAAATGGAATAAGTGGGTAAAGATAATGGATGGATGGATGTATATATATTTTTAAATATACTGTATGTGTATTTTTTTGTTGTTGTGTGAGATAAATATTTTAGTTAATGATCAGTAAAGTTGTTTTGTTTATTAACGTTGTCTACTTGATGATGTATTTACGTCCTGGGGCGCAAAAATCTTTGCCCATAGACTCTTGTTAAAAGTTATACATAAACAATAACTCCTCTTCATTACAAGATATAGGACTATTCTGGGCGCAACTCTCCTGCGCCCAGACTGCATGCATGGTATGGATTGTGCTCCTGGAAGAGATCGTGCAGTGACACAACCAGGCTATGCTGCAGGTAGGCTTTAAGTCATTGAAAGCTCTTTATCTAATTCCTATGTTGCCATTACTGACTGATATGCCTCTCAACTTTTAGATGTCTCTGTTTGTGAAAAAAACCTTCAGCTGACCGTGTAAACGTGGGAAGTGGTGAGTTTGTTTGTTTCTGGAATTAGCATGCTAGTGCTAGCCTCCAGGTTATTGTACTGAGCTCTGTGATTGCTGCATTTAAGTGCTTATATAAAAACTATCAAACATTAATACTTTTCTATACTAAATGTCACTGATGGTGTTATACCGTTTCTGAACACCTGCACTTGTATTGATCTGGAGAATGAAAAACAAGCTTCTTGCAATAAGTAGATAGTTCCTAATGTTAACAATGAAGCATTTAAATTGAAGCTACATTGAAATGGTGAAACGCTATATTGTGTGCTAAGGTGCAATATTAGAACCTTTGATATTAGGAATATTTGAGTAGTCAAATAATGAACTTGATTTTATTTAGGTACCACATCCCTCCAGCAGTTGAACTGTGATCTTCTGAATTAGTTTTATTATAAACCATCCTTTATAAATATTATTTAGGACAAATATATGTTACATATATGTACATACATACATACATACATATATATACGCACACACATATACTGTATACACTGTATATATGTGTACACACACACACACATATATATATATATATACTTTGTACACATATATATACGTGTATATATATCTGTATGTATATATATGTATATGTGTGTCTATTCTGGAGTTATAGTCCCCCTGGAGAAAACTTCACCAGCCGCCACTGAAAGACCATGCAATTGTGAGAGGACTGAGCTTCAGCTCGGACCCTACAGGCCTCAGTCAGCAGGTTAATGGTACCAGTACTTCACTGGGCTGCAACTGGTGACTAATAGCATTCTCACTACAAAATAGTTGCAGTCCTCGTCAGAGGTGTGGACAATTTTTATGCAGCTTTCTGTAAGTTCTAGAGCATTAGTGCCAAATGTTGACTCGTGTAGAGGAGCTCAGCTTTGACAGAAACAGTGAAGGCTTCAGGCAGAACGTCCAGGTCTACAAATAACATCAAGGACGGATAATTATTTAAAAAACTGCTCCATCACCAAATGTGGGGCGGCTGCTGGGGTGTGTGTGAAGTGTTAGTAGCAGTGCTGCCTGGTCAGAAACAACTAGTCAAGCAGCTCCTCCAGCTGTCAGCACGGGGGGTGGAGGCTGATGGTTTGGGCTCCTTCAGTCAGAGTGGACCAGAACTCTGTAGACCAAAGGTTTCTGGAGGCAGATGTGAGTCCATCTGTCCAACAGCTGAAGCAGAACCATGATCCAAACACAGCAGCTGATCTACAACAGAACGGGTCAGAAAGAACAGAACAAGGTCCAGTCAGAGTCCAGAACCTCAGCCTGATTGCTTCACTGTGGTGGACCTTCAGACTGAGCAGAACCCTCTGGAACCTGATAAGACCAAAATATTTGTGACGTAAACGAGAGAGGACTTTATTTTCCCAGAAGTTTTATTAAACGTCTTCTGACATTTGGACCTGCAGGACGGCAGCTTGTTCCCCCGCCGGGCAGAACCGGACAACTAAACTAAACCTCAAACTGCACATTTATAAGAACCAGAACATCCAGCGTTAAAACTCCAAATGAGCCTGGTGCCGCTCACTTTCACCGTCGGTCTCCACTAAACTGAATCTAGAAGAAGAACGGCTGCATGAGAACATTTATAAACCGAACCAATCAAAATAAACTCTTGAATGGAAGCAGCAGGATGAGCCTGACCCCCCCCCCCCCCACCACCACCACCACCACCTGCAGGAGCCTAACTGGATTAAAGTCTCAGACATGCAGCGTGTGCGTCCATGTGCTTCCTGCGAGCTCAGAGGTCAAACAACTCATTTTAATGAAGCTTATGCAACAGCAGATCAGCAACAGTCAAAAGGTTCTGAACGCAGGTCCAGAGCCCGTTGGACCTCTGATGAACTAGAACTTTCTTTTCTTCAGACGGTTGTCGGTGAGGCTGCTGGGCCGCGCCCTCTCCTCCAGCTCTTTGATTCTCTGACGTAAAGCTGCGATCTCTTTATTCTTCTCCTCCTGGAAAAAGTGCAGCTTCTGAGGAAACAAGCAGGATTGATCCACGCCGTTCAAGTTAGCAGCAAATGATCAGAGCCGTGACGTCACAACACAGACCAGCACGGCTGGTTCTGCTCACCTGCTTCAAGACACTCTGTGGAAGCAGGCTGGAGCCATGACGCTGCTGCTGGCTCCTCTCAGCCGAACTCTGAACTCTGGCCAACTTCGCACCAAACTGTGAAGAAGACAACAGAGACAGGAAGAGGAAGTCCGTGAAACTGAGCGGACCCTCAGAGTGTGGAGTTCATCACATCCTGCGGGTGAAATGAAACGTGTTGCAGACAACGTAAACGAGGTCATAAAGAGAGAGACTCGCATAAAAAAAATCATTTTAAACTAATAACAAAAGATCTTTTTCACAGGATCGCTCTGAAGTGTGACGTGAGCGGTGCCACACCAAGCATGTGAACAAAGTGAAAAGCAAGAAGAGCAGAAATGTTTCAAACTGTGAAGACCGACCCCGAACCACAACAAGCCTCTCAGTCCTCCCCCAACCACGAGGAAGTTCGGCTGATTTAGCTCCGGCGTGAAAATTACAACCCAAAGTTGAGGAAGAGCAGCTGCAACACAAGTGTTTAATAATATCACAGCCCATCAACACATCGTGTGTGTGTGTGTGTGTTTATGGAAAAAGGCTGTAACATATGGCAGCACGGTGGATCAGTTGGTAGAGCTGCTGCCTTTAAGTGAGAAGGTTGCTGGTCCAAATCCCAGCTGGGGGCCTTTCTGGGTGAAGTTTGCAGGTTCTCTCCATGCATGCGTGGGTTTTCTCCGGGTGCTCCATTTTCCTCCCACAGACCAAAAACATGCATGTTAGGCTGATTGGTAACTCTAAATGGTCTCTAGGTGAGAGAGAGAGAGTGTATGGTTGTTTGTCTCATTTGTCTCCAGGTGTCCCTGTGATGGACTGGAGACCTGTCCAGGTGTCCCCAACTCTCACACAAAGATGTGACTTCATGTTTTTTTTTTCATCTGTACGTTTTGAAGAGTTTTAAGACCCAACATGGAATGAAGGACTTTTGAAGAACTTGCAGAAACTGTTCACCAACAATGAGTACTATCATTAGTGTCCGTCCACTGGGTCATGAGATATTTTACTAACAAGCAGAAAAACACAAAAACATGAATTTTCACCCTCTGTCTTTGGTGTAATTTATAAACGCGCTGTTTATCAGAGAACATCTGGTTATTTCTTTCTGACCTCCATCTGAAGTTTGAGGAGCTCGCTCTTCCTCTCCCTGTCCTGCTCCTTCAGCCTCTTCATCTCCTCCACAGCCACACGTTTGTCCTCCAGCAGCT